TTGACTAAACCACTAAACCAGGGTGACCTTTATGGGTAGAAACAGGTTTAGGTTGCTGTGCTGAGGTGAGAAAGTACCAGCGGTGATGGCTGCCTGTCTCCCTGTGCCGTCGCCTTTACTTCCCAGCATGGTGAGACAGGCCCAGGAGGAGAGCTCTGGCTTTCACGTTGGATTAAACAGCACCCCGAGCCCTGCTTCCCCAGGATTTGGGAATAATTTAAGAGGCACATTTTAACAGCCCCAGCTCCAGGAGAGGACTCATCGCCTGTTTTTCCGTGTGAGGAGACCACATGAAACGTAACGCATTAAAAAGTCATCAGCGGCTGCTGTGGAGGAGCACTGCGTTCCCCCGCCCAGCACTGCCAGGGGGTACTGCCTTCTTAAAAAGGCTCCCTCTGTCCCCAGCACTGACTGAGCACCTCTTCATAAATGGCTGGCAGAAATGAAAGAACTGTTGAAACTCCCCAGAAGGGGAAGGAAACATTTTCACAAACGATGTGTGGCAAACATGAGTCTTCAGGGAAAGCTCCTCAGAGACTTATGCATCTACAAATGGTCGGTTAACTGTCTAAATCAGGAAATCCACACAGAAAAACAGTGAGTTATTTATTTTATTAAAGATAGCAAAGAACTGATGTACAGGACAGAAAATCTATCAAAATATCAACCAGTTTATAAAAAAAAAGTTAAAGCACAATAAAATGTGGAGGTCACGGACTCCAGTGAAAACCCTTCCATGAAACACAATAAATGCACAGATGTTAATGCTGATACTTATACTTGCAAAAAGGACCTGTAAGAAAGGGAAAATAGAAACGTAAAATAAAATGACAGTGAGTAACACGAGCAATGGGAAAGTAAATCAACACCAATGTAAGTATGCCTCATCATCTGCTGCTTCCCATGGCCTGAAGCTTTATGAAGTACAACACCTGCATTTGGAAAAACACGGTGTGCCTAAACTGTTGGGTTTTTTTTTCCAAATACAGATATGCCTAGAAAAATACTCAAAAACTTCAGCAGTTCTGGGAATACATGGACCAAGAAAAAAGAATACAGTGCTAAGAGAAGTCATCATCTCGCCAAGCAGAGAACGCGTGCACAGCTTGCCAGTTGTGTAACGTGTGATTGAAAGCAACAGCACTCGCAGATATTTTAGGGAGCACCAGATCATAAACGAGTGGCAACTTGGAGGAATTCCCAGAAAACAAGAAGTGACTGCAGGAAAAAATTGCAGAGCATTTTAGCGGTGAAAAAGGTGACATCTGAGGAACAACCAGCTGAAGGCTGCAACATGCGGCTGTTGTTTGTGAGTCTCCAGTAAGAAGCAGCAGAGCTTGGGATGGGCTGTCCATCATGTGCACAGTGCATCATCATGGACACGGTGCCAGAGCTGCAGCAGCAGCACCTCACTCACCACAGGGCAAATCCACACAGGAAAGCACCAGCAAAAGTGGGACCAGAGGAAATTGCTGGTGCTCCTGGGTGCTGTCCCCTGCCTGAGCAGCATGTCCTGGGATGCTCCATGCCTTGCCTCCACCAACACAATGCAAGTTAGACTTTTTGATAGAAATCAAACCTGCCCCAGCCTGGTGGTACATGGCAGTTCCACTCACAAGCGGTTTTCAGTTGTTAGTAAACCAGGAAGGATGGATACTGGGCAGACTGCAGGTTCACCTGCAGTGGTGCAGGTATAAAGGGGAGTTTTCTGAAGTTAAGGGTATTGGAGCGTGGCATGAGTTGTGTCTCAGTTCCTTCCCTGGCCTGTTTCTGAAGCCTGGGCAGGGAAACCTCGCTCAGGGGAGAGGTGAGACTCAGGCAGGGGCCCTCCTTCAGCTCTTCCTCCTGCTGCTTCCTATGTCCCTCACTTTCCTCCTCTGGCTGTGCTGAGCTGCTTATGCCCCTGCTGTAAATCTCCAAATTGACTGGCTTGACCAGCAGCGCAGGGTACACTGCAACGTGGCTGCTTCCCTGAAGGAGGGAGGAAGAGGAGGAGGAGGTGATGTCCCTGGCATAACACCACTGGCATAGCTCAGCATACAGGCACATGAGCTGGTGCCTGTGCTAGGCAGCAGGTCTCCAAACAGGATGAGGCCCTTATAGCCAACAGGGCTGTGCTGGGATGTCTGCTCAGACAGACCTATGCAGGAGGCCAGCATCCACGTGTGGCCCCAGCCACAGCAAGAGCTGCCCAGCCACACGTTCAGACTGAGTCTGGTTTACATCTGAGCTTTGAGGAGGGAATCTGAAATCTCTCTTGAAGTGTGAAAGCAGCAGCTTTCATTTGCCAACACCACAGAGATATTTAGTGGGACCGTTGACAGCAAGTGACATCCCTGAATCCCAACAAATAGCCATGGGTGCTTGTGCCCCTCACTCAAGGAAACAAAGCAGAGCAGCATCAGAGGCCTCCTTCTCCAAGTTCAGTCAAAAGTAGCCAATAGGTTCAAAACTCTGTAGGAAGGGACAGATGGATGGACACACACATAAACCGTGCCAGCAGGAAGGCATGGTCCTGCTCAAGGGGGAAATCTGCTCTCTGTGCCCCAGCTCCAGCTGGGGATTACAGCAATCTGGGGAAGCACAGCATCCTCTTCCCTGACTATGTCAAACCTCATGAAGCAGAAATGATTTTACTGCCCCATGACGCTCCTGTGCCCTGACCAAGAGCTGGGCAGTGTGGTCCTCAAAACACTCGGCTTTTTTCCCTCATTTTGCACAATAGCTTACAAAGATCCACCAAGAAGAAAATGAGGACATTAGCTATTCGGGGGAGTGATGATTAGGAAGGCAGAAGCAGGCACCCATAAAAAACATGCCCCCTTTTAACTTCACACCCCTACCAGGGAAGTATCTAATCATTTCCTAAATGATCCTGATGCTTTCTGCCTCAGCCTCCGTGCCTGGTTACCCATTCCACATATTTATTATTCTTTGCATGAAATAATACTTCCTGACATCTGTTCCCAGTTTGTTTCTCTTTAATTTCCATTTATAGCACATTTTCCTATCCTCTGACCATGTTAAAATAAAACAATAAGTATGTTTGACACGGTGCAAGTTACTTAAGATCATGATCCTTCCCTGACCTTGATTTTTCTTTTTTTTTTTAAACATGCTCCAAAATGCAGAAAACCCCCTCCATTTTAATGAAAAGGGAAGTGGAAAGCTCAGAGAATCATCAACACCTCAGCATTACACATGTGCCAGCAGCCAGGTACGCATGGACCAGTGTGAGGATTGGCTGGTAGTTACAGTTCAGTTCCACTCTGACAAGTATTTGCTGGGGAGAGCAAGGAGCTATGGGGCTGTGCAGTCCTTCCATGAGATGGAGGGGAGAACCAGGGGGCCATAAGAGACAAATTGGCTTGAGTGATGACCAGGCAGTTGGGAAAAGGTGCCCTTCCCTCACTCTGAAGAAATTTTGCGTCCAAGTACAATCTGGCAAGTCCACAAGCAATAAATTCACAAGGAGGAGCAATGAGGAGTACTTCAGTTATGGCACAAGAACATTTTATATTGTCATTTCTATCTTGGTACAAGCCCTCAATATAATTTTAGCTCAGGAGGAGGTTGCTTATGAAGCTGAAATAAAACTGAAAGAATCAATGTGGCCTCCAACCAAATGTGTGTGCACACCTTCTGGTTAAGTAAGAGCACAAAACAGTGAGCCGCTGTCATCTCCAGCTGGTCCATCACCACCTTATGGACTATCAGGCATTTCTCCAGTAGGGACTATCATGCTCCATGCTCAGGACAGCCCCTCCAGGTCGTCCTGCACGGATAAGCCAGTATGTGTGGTTATACATCCTGCTGTGACAGGGACGTGCACCCCTGAACGGAAACATCTGAAACAGAAAACAGTTCTCGGTCCTCTGCAGCAGAAGGGTGGTGGCTACTTCGCAGTTTGAGATGTGGGTGCCTCCACAGCCAAGGGCCAGAGCAGCTTGGGCAACTCAGCTCGTGGTGCCCTATGCATACCGTATCTGCCTCTGGAAGCTTTCTTCACACAACTATTTTATCAACAGGGCTTTGGCCTGCAAGGTTGCCAAGGACATTTTCCTTTTATCCAAATTCCAAGCTGAATGTGCACACACTAGAAACCCTGGGTCTAACCTGGGGCTTTCTGAGGTCAAACATCATGACAAACAGGACTAAGAGCAGCCAAGTTAAACTGTGCTCTGACAAAGCACTGGCCTCTCAAACACACCGTGCAGCTTGATGCCAGGGCTGACTGCTACAGACCAAGAGCTGGAAGGCTGATGAGGGTGGATGGTCTTTGGGGAAGCAGGTCAGAAGTGGCTTTGAAGGCTTGCCAGCAGGTTGCTGGATCAGGCGCTCAGCACACGTAGGAGGGCTGCTTCTTTGGGAGAACTAGCATTTCCCATAGCCCTGTGGCTCCTCTGGATTGCCCTCTGGCTCTCCGTGGTGTTGGGTAGGTGTGACTGGATGGGCCAGCAACACCGACCACCTCACACCCTCAGGATCCATTTAATCCTCAGCAGCACAGACACTCCCATTACAGAAGTGCGTTTGTGTCTCTGCTCCCTGAACTCGCTGCACTTCACCTACTCTCCTGGACTTTAAGCTCAAAGCAGACACAGTTCATGTGGGTGGATTTGCTCCACATAGCCCATGGTTTGGAAGGATAAACATGAGTCCCACATAGTCTTGTGCTCATTTCTTCCCTGCCACAACTGGCCAATTTACCTTTGCTGTTCATCCAGCCCAGTATTTACAGCATCTGCATGATTCAGAGATTGACTGAGGGGAAAGAGAAAAGCTACACTCCGCTCGAAGGCCTGATGATGCAAAGCTTTATGCAAACAACACCACTGCTGGCTCGGAGAACAGGCCTGGAGGAGGGGATGGAGAAAGCTTCATAGTGTGACTTAGCCCATACTTGGTTGCGAACGCATTCTGCAGTTATAATCAGGATTTAACAATCATTAGCTAGATTATGTGCACAAAGGGGAATAATGAAAAAGTACCGAGGGCCATTCATTTTCTGAGTTCCAATCTCTTTATTTGGTTAAGTGGTCTGAGTCAACGAGTTCATGCTCTCCTCTATTTCTGAGAGCTTCTTCAGCATCTGGCTCACCTTGGCCTCATCAAACTCCAAACAGAGGAACTCCGATTCCTACAAAACAAAATTGCAAGAACAATAGTTGAGAAAGATAACGGGGTTTCAGATACACAATGGAGGCAGGACAGCGAGTTCTGGTTTCCTGATAACCTGCGTCCTGTGTCCCCTTTTTTCCCAGTACCACTCAAATAACCTCAGTAGACCCAGAGGCTGGCTACACACCAACCAAGCGAGAGCAGTGTGTGCCAGCAGCTGTCAAAGTGGACACAGGATGGCTGAGCTCTGCCCACCTTTCCTTTCAGTGTAGGCATCAGTTTGGGTCTCTCCTTAGCTGCAGACTTCTGCAAAACTTGTGGAAATTGAATTATATGTGAGAATTCCCCTTTTCTTCCCAATCCGCTGATCCACAAAGCTGTCGCTGCGGACACTGGGAACTGCAAAGTGATTAGAGCTATCGCACAAAGCTCATTACATACAAAACCCAGGTTTTATACAGGGGAAAGTCAGACTCCCAGACAGAGTCTTGTACAGGACATTCCAGTCTGGAAATTCAGGAGAGTTTTATACTCTCTTGTACATGGGCTGTAGTGTCGATACAAATTTTGGAGTTGTGAAGCAGCACTAATTCGCTCTGAAAAGTCCTGTCACATCTTGAAAAGTAGTTATCTATTGACTAGATGGATATTGGGATATAGTAAAAGGATCTTTTCAAAGGCCCAGATAATAAAGAAAAAACCCAAATATATACATATATATATATATAAAAGAATATACATGTATATATGAGGGTATATATATAAAAAGTTTCAGTGATACGGAACTGAATAGTGAGCTCTCCAGCCCATTAACCTTACCTACTGCTATGTCTATAGTTACAAAGAATTTCCTACAGTGAATCTGGCAGAAGTAGTGTTCAGATTGCCAGAAGCCTGGCTGTGTCCTAAAGGTCATTCCAGGTGAAGCACCATCAGTGACAGAGAAACAAACTGAAAGCATTTGGAGATGAAAGTGCAGCCGGTATGGAGGAGGTTTCCATATGAGACACCGGAATAGTTTCAGCCATGAGAATCACTGTATATCCACCAAGTTTCTATATGCAACACAGACCCCGTGGTGCTTGTAAAAGCAGAAGGGCATCTCCGGGTCTCACCTGTTTTCTGGCAGACTAAAATTTCTATAATTATTTCAAAACGTGGGTTTTTTTTTTCCATATAATTAACCCCTACCAAAGCCACCACAACTTCATCCTTTACATTTATGGAATTAATAGTTAACACACAAGGATAAAGTAAATGGGCAAATTAAACCCATCAACTTTTACTAACCACATTTTAGGACTGCTATAAGCATTTTCATTAAATGTCTATTATCTTATCTGCTAACAACCAATCAACCAATGGGCCAAGGGGCAGAGATTTGTTATAGATTTAGCATGTGGGTGCTCCTTATCAGAAAGGGTTTCACAGAACACAGGAGAACTGTGTTTGAATGATGCATCAGTAAAGTTCAGTAATAGTCACGTAGGTAAATATATACCATGCAGAATATACAGGTGACTACTAGGAAAGGCCTTTGTGTGAGCAAGCAGTTATGTTTATCAACAACATCCGACTGGAAACCATAGGTTGTGGTTTTCTTTGTTTTAGAGCTAATTATTAATCTCTATAGCATCACTTAGTACATTCCAAAACATCACAGAGTAGCATTAAACATTTAGGATCAATGACAAGAGATATGAAATCTAGGACTTGGAAGCAAGGGCTCACTCACATCATTTTTCTTGTCCTTGACAATGGTTATTGACACATCTTATGGAAATACCTTGTATAAAATATCTCTGCAAGTGTAATTACAGCAAAGCATAATTACAGCTGGTCAGTGTGCAGAAGGAAGATGTTTGGTGATGAATTTGACAGCTTAAGCCCACAGTCACAGTCCTCAACAGGCCAAACTCCTGGTGACATCTCAGGCTTTCCAGACACAGCTGTGCACTGCAAGTCATGTGAGCCCATCAACTTCCCCAGGCCAAGGTTTGCCCATGCAACCTCCAACATCTGCATAAGCTGATTTTAGGGTTTAATGACATGGTGAGTGCGAGTGGAGAGAAGAGCAAAGTGCCCAGCTCTGGTGGAGATGCTTTTACACAATCCTAAGGCATAAGGAGGACATTTTTTCCTCCCCTCTTCAGGTTTTGTCAGTTAAAAGGAATGTAAACTGAGCAAAAGGACACTCCTGGTTTACACTAAGACTCTGCAAGACATTTTATACAAGCTTAAGTGTACTCACTTAAGCATACTTTTATCTATGAAGCAGCTAAAACTTTCCTATGGGGGTTGTATGGTACCTTGTTACGGCAGTCTCACGTGGACCAATCTAAAACATGACCAAGAGGGCTGTGCTTTTTATTTAATGCCTCATTAGTTTATACCCTCCATGAAAAACAGGAAGGAAAAAGAAAAGACAGAGCTGTGAAATTCTAAACTCCCTTTTGCTCTCCTCAGGTGTCCTCCAGGAGCAGCACACATTTAGTACCTCTGCTCCCCCTCAGCAAGAAACACGGCATCCCTTTTGATACTTCCTGCTGCTAAAGAAAATTGCAGCCCACCTGGAGACCTCACAGTTAAGCAAAACCAAAATGGAACAAGTCATTCATTGCATGCAAGTCCTGAAGAACAGCACATTGGGCTTCAGCTGAGCTCTTCATGGAGATCATGGGATCATAGAATGGCCTGGGTTGGAAAGGATGTTAGAGAACACGCAGTTCCAACCCCCTGCCACAGGCAGGGATGCTTTCCACTAGACCAGGTTGCTCAAGGCCCTGTCCAGCCTGGCCTTGAGATGGACATGGTCTTTAAGAAAAGGCACATGTAAGCACATAAGGGGGGCCATTACAGCATAATCGCATGCAATGGGAACAGCACCTTCAGGATGGAAAGCCAAGCTCGGTGCTCTCAGAAGGGTGTGGGAATGGACATCCATTTCCTATGGCTGTCTTGGTTTACCCCCACATGCTTTCCCACCCCTCCTCCCACTTCCCTCCTGAGCCTGGGCTATAAAAAGACACTGCAAAACAAACATCCAAGAAACACAAACTCCCCCCAGCCTTGAATCAGATCTTCCAGGTTTTCTCTTTTTCAGTAACAACAGAGTGCTGCAAAAATATTTATGTGAGAGACGAAGAGAAGCACAACTTTATCTCAGTAACTACAGTTAAAAACCATGTGTTCTTAGAAAACCAGTCCTCACACACTCAAAACTTAAAAACATACAGTAGTTCTGTACTGCATCAGTGGGAGCAGCAACTTAAAATGACTTCCAGCAAGTTGGATCCATCTGGTGTTTCTAAGTTTTAGCTATTGTATTGGAAAAACAAAGATAAACCCTCTGTGTTTACGTATTCCTATTCATTTCCACTTGATTCAGGGACCTCCTGCAACACTCATTCAGGGAACCTGGTCACTGCCAGGACCGCAACACAAGTTGGGGTAAATCTGCTTTGGATCATGAAGTGTCTTGACTAAGGCTCGTTCCATGGGCCAGGGTGGTGGCTTGGGGCATGTCCCAACACAGAAGTGAGGAGTTCAGCTTTCTTGGCAAGCAGTGGTCGCACATGAGACACTGGTGGGGGTTCAGTCAGTGGGGTGCCAGGCCTCACGCTTGCTGGCCCAAGGACAGTGAAGGCTGCTAGGTAGAAACAGGTAGATTTGCCTGCTCAGGTAGAAACACCTTGGACAAAGCTGTGAGAGGTGAGGGGAACCTCCTGCCAAGGGGCAGGAAACACAAACTGCTCAGCAACAGAACAAAGATGCTGAGGTGTTGATGACAGCCTCAACAACACAGCTCAGGTGGGTTCAAGGAACTGGGGGCTTTTTGCCATTAAACCAGAGCAGCGCTGGGAGCCAGCTGCCAGGAGAGCAGGTCTCCATGGCTCAGCAGAGATGTCCTGTGCAAGGGGAGAGGGAGTTAACTCCACCTTCACACAGGGAGCACTCTACATCATTCAAGGCATGGAGACAGAGAGAAATGCGGGGTTTGTCCAGTTAGATACTATTTTCATATGAGAAGCAGCAGCATTTTAAAGCTGTGCAAGGAGAATACAGGAAATGCTCTGTGCCCATCCTCACCTCCATGGATTTCAGACATGCCTGGAGTGAGCACAAGCCCACTCACAGCCTTTAACTTGGGTCCCTGAGGCCACAGGGCTATCAGTGCCACTACATCCCTGGCCTTGAACACTGCCAGGGGATGGGGCAGCCACAGCTTCTCTGGGCAACCTGTGCCAGTGCCCCAGCACCCTCACAGGGAACAACTTCCTAATGTCTCATCTCAGTTTCCCCCCTGTCAGTGTAAACCCATTCCCCCTTGTCCTGTCACTGCAGGCCCTTGTACAATGATGTCATATTCTACCCTAATATGCCAGGAGCCAGCCACGGACTGCTGTCCTGAACAGCTGCCCGGCCTCCTCTGCAGAACAGCTGGGCCAGGAGTCACTTGCAGACTGCATCTGGCTTACGTGCCCCAGCTGAACCCACACCAGACCTGCAGCAGGATGTGTGGGCCAGCTCAGGAGGAGCTTGGGGAGAGACAAGGTGCCCCCCCCCGCCCACTCCTCCACGGATGCTGCCATTTCCCACCACAGCACACCCAACTGTGGGCACCCTCCTGCTGCACAATGCGGTGCCAGGCATCTTACTCAGACCGGATTAGTTGTGCAGCAGGAAAAAGCACTGAAATACAGAGAAGGACAGCCTGTCTTTGGAGGATTTCAGGCATACCTATACATCTGAATAATACATGTCTTATATTTGATCCTAAGAAGTTATCGAGAGAGATGTTTCAGATATAAATAGAATGCAACACATTCAAATTACTTATTTTCAAGGCCAGGTTGGACACGGCTTTGAGCAACTTGGTCTAGTGGGAGGTGCTCCTGCCTGTGGCAGGGGGGTGGAACTGGATGGTCTCTAACCCAAACAATTCTATGATTCAGAAGAAAGGCAAGGATATTTAAAGCCATGTTACAAGCTAACCAAACATTTTCTTTCAGACAGAAT